GGCGATTGCCCAGGCATCCTCTGTCGATCTGTGCATGTTTTCCTTCCCCTTGCCCTGTAGTTTTTCCAGAGGTGCCGCCCGGCGATTGCCCAGGCATCCTCTGTCGATCTGTGCATGTTTCCTTCCCCTTGCCCTGTAGTTTTTCCAGAGGTGCCGCCCGGCGATTGCCCAGGCATCCTCTGTTGATCTGTGCATGTTTTCCTTCCCCTTGCCCTGTAGTTTTTCCAGAGGTGCCGCCCGGCGATTGCCCAGGCATCCTCTGTTGATCTGTGCGTGTTTTCCCCCCCTTACCCTATAGTTTCCCGGGGGTGCCGCCCGGCTTCTGCCCAAGCATCCTCTGGATATCTATGGCTGTCTCCCTTTCCCCCGCAGACCTGTACCTTCACCGAAATGCCGCCCGGCGACTGCCCAGGTATCTTTGGGAGGGTCTTTGCGCCTACCCTCCTTCCCCTTACCCTATAGTTTCCCGGGGGTGCCGCCCGGCGACTGCCCAGGCATCCTCTGGGTATCTATGGCTGTCTCCCTTCCCCCCGCAGACCTGTACCTTCACCGAAATGCCGCCCGACGACTGCCCAGGTATCTTTGGGAGGGTCTCTGCGCCTACCCTCCTTCCCCTTACCCTATAGTTTCCCGGGGGTGCCGCCCGGCGACTGCCCAGGCATCCTCTGGCTATCTATGGCTGTCTCCCTTTCCCCCGTAGACCTGTAGCTTCACCGAAATGCCGCCCGGCGACTGCCCAGGTATCTTTGGGGAGTCTCTGCGCCAACTCTCTTCCCCTTGCCCTGTAGCTTCCCTTAGGTGCCGCCCGGCAACTGCCCAGGCATTCTACAGAAGATCTCGACCGTTCTACCCCCTTTCGCACGTTTCCCTTGGCCTTGGCATCCCCGAGACGAAATCTCCGTCCCATGGCCACTCATGACTCGGAGTCCCGGCAAATTATAAATATGGCTGTAACTTCGACCCTGGCTTGACTGAGAGTTATACCCCTAGATCGCATCCTTACAACGCTTAAAAAAGCTTAAAAAAAATAACAGACTTCAAAAAAAAGTTCTGCCATAGAAAAAACGAGAAGGAACGTGCGAGTCGCTTCTGGGGACGCGACTCTACTTATACCCGTACTCAGTCAGTATATACATTTTTGATATTATGATTTTTTAGAATTAAAAAAAAAAAATTTTACATTTTACATTTTTTTGCTACATCTGATATCTACATCTACATCTACAATGTATATTCTACATCTAACATGTAGATTGTACAATGTACATGTTCCATTTAGATTCTACATCTCCACCGCTAGGGGTTGCTCGCGCACTGAACGCGGCGGAGTGTGCGAGCGAGAAGGAAAATGAGTTGTGATGTCGTCGTCGGGTGGGGGGAAAGGGGAAGCAACTGAAAATTAATTTCTTCATTCTGGCTATAATTATGATCCGATCTGATTTAGATTCGGCAGTCTGGTAGATATGGGCATTCTCTACGATACTGCGTTAGTTTTATCGTATCTTTAAAAATGTGCCTGCCACAGATTTTCGTCCTTTGTGGGGGCGGAAGGGGGCGGGGCGAAATTTTGAAATACACTTGTAGCAGTGTGATATCACATGAGTGTGGAAACAAAATTTGGTTGCCCTAGCTCTTATAGTCTCTGAGATCTAGGCGCTCAACAAGACGGACAGACAGACAGACGGACAGACGGACAGACAGACATGGCTCTATCGACTCGGCTATTGATGCTGATCAAGAATATATATACTTTATGGGGTCGGAAACGTTTCCTTCTCTGCGTTACACACATCCACTTTTACCACAAATCTAATATACCCCTTAACTCTTATTTGAGTACGGGTATAAAAACATTATTCTTTAAAAAATTTTAAAGCCCCATATCTATCAGAAAACGTCGGTTTGGATCCTTGAGGAAAAAAAAAGTTCGATTTTGTCAAGTAGTGTTACCAATTAAAAAAATAAGTTTTACATTTTACATTTTTTTGTTACATCTGATATCTACATCTACAATGTATATTCTAAAACGGCATAGCGACATATCTCCGCGCGGACATTGGCGTCATATCTCCGCGGGAGATATGTCGTTTTTGAGACGACGCTTAAATAAGCTTAAAAAAAAATAACAGACTTCAAAAAAAAGTTCTGCCATAGAAAAAAAAACATTATTCTTTAAAAAATTTTAAAGCCCCATATCTATCAGAAAAAGTCGGTTTGGATCCTTGAGGAAAAAAAAAGTTCGATTTTGTCGAGTAGTGTTACCACTTAAAAAAAATAAGTTTTACATTTTACATTTTTTTGTTACATCTGATATCTACATCTACATCTACAATGTATATTCTAAAACGGCATAGCGACATATCTCCGCGCGGACGTTGGCGTCATATCTCCGCGCGGAGATATGTCGTTTTTGAGACGACATACGTCCGCGCGGAGTTTGGCGTCATATTTCCGCGCGGAGTTTTTGAAACGACATACCTCCGCGCGGTGTTTTGCGTCATATTTCCGCGCGGAGATCTGTCGTTTCAGAACGTCATATGTCCGCCCAGAATTAAGTGGAGATATGACGCCAAACTCCGTGAAGATATGACGTCAAGCTTCGCACAATGAGCCCCAGCCGAAAACCAGTGTCAAGTCACTTTTTCATTATGCGCTGTGGACAGTTCAAAGTTCATCCTTGCATATTTACAAAAATTAGATATCATGAAAATATCTATATTTGTTCAAAAGGAATTAATTTATAAAGCTGAAATACAAAAAATTGTTTCTCCAATTCGACCATTTATAAGATAAAAATAAATTGTTGCAAAAATGGGTTTTTTTAAATGTATTTATATGGAAAGTATATAATAAGAATTCCCGAGTTCACAAGTAGGTTTTTAAAAAGATATTTTATTTAACCGAACTTATAAAATAGAACATAGGATATGATAATGAATTCCCCAACTCAATGTTAGAAAGTCTCTCGTCTTCTTGTTCTCGAGTTATTGATCTCGAGACCTCTGTTAGGAAGCTTAAAGCTTATCTCCTTAAGCTTTCGGCTTCGGCTGATATTTCGTCTTCGTGATTGAGTGATGATGGCTTCGGCTGAGAGAGGCGAAGCTTCGGTTGGGAGAGGCGTTGCTTTGGTGAGAGCGGCTGATAAGCGATGCGTTGGCCTGTGTGTGGGAGGCTTGGGAGATGCGTCGGCTTAGATGAAACAGGTAGCCGCAGCTGGTGATTGGTGTCAGCTTTCATCTTGAGAACTCACTTGTTTACAAGAGTTCTCCCTTCTATTGGAGTGTGGGACTGATTCGGAATTAGTCATAGTGTGGAGTGTGGGAACGAGCTGATAACGTATTGGTCAGCGACGTTCTATTGCATTCCCGAGTTTTGGATTGCATGGGACTTCCTGTTGATTTCGGTATGGACGAATCATGCGTTGTTTGTTCAGCTGTTGGGGTATCTTCTTATATGTTTATCTTATTTCATATAGATGCGAATACATGGGTGTAGGGTGAGTGCTGGGCATATACATAACGTGTATGGTTGTGGGTGTGGTTATGAATATGTCAAGTGCTTAACGTATACTTAATGCGTATGTAGGTGTAGGGCATTATGGATATGTTACTCCCCCGGCATTTCTTATAAGCCTGTCCTCAGGTTTTCACTTTAGGGTATAGGGAGGGGATTTCCTCTATAACTATTGGGGTACTATTTTCTTCTTCTTCTTTTTCGTCTGCTTCATTAGGTTTTACATATCGAATAGTTATATTTTTAGGTATTTTCTTAAATTTGGCAATTAGATACCCAGTTATGCTTATTATTGATAAAATGAACATAATTATTATAACTATCTGCAATATATTATTATATTTTGTTTGTTGTATAATTATTTCTTTTGTCTGTACATAAGACAATGGTTCTAATCTAGTTATGTTATTACTCACATAGACGTTTTGTGTAAAATCTAGCATTGAATTAGTTATTGTGAATTCGTTTAATTGAGTTGAACAATTGTAAATCTTAATAATATTATTACCTTCGATTGTTATTTCTTTGTCTAAACAGTTTTGGTTTAATTTGGATTTTGGAAGGTTCCATGTTAACAATATATTTGGTTCAACGTAATTAATTTGGAAATTCTTAAAAGTTCTTGTGTATGGACATTTAGTGGGTTTTTGCTTTAAAATCCCTTTTATACAATTGTCTTCTATTATTTGCTTAGTTTCTTTGTTATATATTTTGTCTTCGTAAATATAATATTTATCGAATATTCATTCTGTTAAAATATTATTTTGGTTATCTGGATAAGGCACAATTTTATATATTGGGATATTAGCGATTTCGCTCGGAATATTGGAAATTATATAAATTTCGTTTGTATCAACTTTTAGCCATGTAAAAGTTTTAATATTTAGCAATTTCTCAGAATTTATATGTTTCAGGTAATCTTGTTTTAGTAGTTTTGGGTTAAAAATACCAAGTCTAGTTAGTTGCATTCCCATTTCTATATCCTCTATGTATTCTGTGAAATGTTGTAGGTTGAAGATTAAAATTTCTAATTGTTGATTTTTGTTGTTTTCTTCGTTTAATTGGTTTATTATCTCAATTCCATGGTTTACTACTTCTATAACTAAATTTAGTTCGTTTGTTTGGATGCTATGTGTGGCGAGATTTTCTATTCTTTGTTCTAATTCTTTCTTTTCTTCTTGATCTAGTGTGCCAAATAAGTATTTATAGGCGGTACCTAAAATATTTATTAGGCCTCTCTTGCTGCGTTTCGCAATTTTTAAGCCATTTATTTCCCTATTTAATTTATCTACTAGGTATTTTACTTGGATTACGTTTTCAAATTTATTAGCCATTACTAGAAGGTTTTGATAGGTTTCTTCAGTTTTTGTTACATTAACTGTTAAGTAATGGTATTCATAGTTAATCGGGAGGTCGATTGATCCCGTTTTAAATATGAGGTATCCGTTTCTGGACTCGATCGGATTTATTTCAATATTTTGTCCTACTGTTGTAAGGACCATTAATGTAATGATGACGATGATTTTAATTATGTTGCCGTTGATCGTTAACTTCTGATTCGATGGGCGGCCTGGAATTATCGTATTTGCTAATATTGTTGTTGCTAATAATGTTGGTAGTATTATGTCAGGTCTTGTAATTATATGTGTATATTATTAGTTCAAATTTAGTGTATTTGTTTTCGAGGTCATTCTCACTGGATATGATCCTCAATTTTTCGTTCACTGTTTTATGGAATCTTTCAACGTCTGATATTCCATTTTAAATGGATGTGATTAGGATCTTGACATCTTCCGAGATAAGCCATGCTTGCAATGCTGCGCACATAAAGGCTGAATCTTTGTCGGCTTTAATTTCTTGGGGTTTTCCCATTTCATTATAGACTTTTAGTATCGCCCTTTTGGTTTCTAACCAGTCACGACTGTTCACTTCTATTAGTGTAGCGAATTTTGAGTATATATCGATACATGATAGGAACTGTTGGTTACCTATCAGATAGAAGTCCATTACGTAACGTTCTCGGATGTTTAAGACTTCCGGTGTTACTTCAAATGACAACTTGGTGTTTCTATGCTCGGTCTTGGCAATATTACACGTTGTGCATTCGTTTATTATGTTTTGTATCAATTTTTGGTGGTCAGGGTAGTAGTGTTTTCCCTTAAACCAATTGATGGTTTTCTCTATTCCAGGGTGAAGTAATTCTTTGTGGTTTTTCATTATCAATTCTTTGAATTCTGCGTAATTGGGTTCATAACTTTTGTGAAATTGTTTGGACTGATAATTTCTAAATACGCTTGTTGGAAAATTGGGAAATCAGTCTCGTTATGGAAATATAATGCACTCTTTTTGGTACATAGATAATCCTTAATGAGTTCTTTAGCCAAGGTGTTGGTGATTTCCTTGTATGTGATTTTGATAATCAATTTATGGAAATAGTGTTGTGTAGTTACTTTATCTTCATCTCCCTTGATCAACTCAATCTGACGATTGAAATAGTTGATTGGTCGTTCTGTAATGGGGATATGATTGAGATTGTCTTCTTGCGCACTGTGTATTGTGGCGCCTGCACTGTCAGAGACTTCACCGAGTAGATTTTCATTAACTTTAACTCGGGAAAGGGCGTCAGCTACATGGTTTTCTTTGCCAGGTAGATATTTGATTTTGAAGTCGAATTCGTTTAATTTGATCTTCCACCTCTGTAGTTTCATGTTTGGTTCCTTGAGGTTGTTTAACCATACTAAGGGCTTGTGGTCTGTGGTCGCTAAGTATTTCGAATGTTCTTCCGAACAAGTATGATCGGAAATACTTAGTGGCCCAAACAATTGCTAACAGTTCTTTCTCGATAGCGGAATAATTGATCTCATGTTCATTCAGCGTTCGGCTGGCGTAGCAGATCGGTTTATGGTCTTGTGATAAGACTGCACCGATGGCCATGTTACTAGCGTCGGTAGTAACAGAAAACATTTTGTTAAAGTCTGGATACACGAGAATTGGGTCTGAGGTGATGAGTACTTTTAGTCTCTCAAATGCCTCGACATATTTCTCTTCTTTACGATCTATTGTCGCTCGTTTCTTTAATTTGAGCGTCATAGGCTTGGCTATGTTAGCGAAATTAGGAATGAACTTCCTGTAAAATCCGCATAACCCTAAGAATGACTTGATTTGTTTCGTGGTTTCGGGGATGGGAAACCCTGTGATGGCTACGATCTTGTTAGGATTTGGCACTATTCCTTCGGGTGTCACTATATGACCTAGGAACTCAGTTTCTTTCTTCAGAAACTCACACTTATCCATTTGTAGCTTGAGATTTGCGTCTCTCAGCTTGCCAAAGACTTTTCTTAGAGACAGAAGGTGTTCGTCCAATGAAGTGGAGAAAATTATTATGTCGTCTAAGTACACCAAACAGTCGGTGAAAATTAAGTCTTCCAAAAGATCATTCATGCATCTTTGGAATGTGGCAGGGGCGTTGGTTAGCCCGAATGGCATTCGAGTATACTCGTAATGACCATGTTTGGTAGAGAAAGCGGTTTTCGCGATCGAGTTAGGTTCCATTGGGATTTGATGGAAACCTTTTGCCAAATCGATTGTGGTGAAGTATTGGCATTTTCCTAATTTGTCTAGGATTTCATCCATTCTGGGAGTTGGAAACTTATCCTTTATGGTTATCTCGTTGAGACCTCTATAGTCTACAACTAACCTGTACTTCTGTTTTCCGGAAGCGTCTATCTTCTTCGGAATCATTGAAATGGGGGAGCAGTAAGGCGATTTCGATTTACGAATTATTCCTTGCTCAATCATTTCTTTGATTTGCTTATTGACTTCTTCGTCGTGTATTTGGGCATACTTGTATGGCTTTCGGTATACCGGATCTTCGTGTTGTGTTTGAATCGGATGTTTGACAGTACTTGTGAAGGTCAAATTGTCACCATCTCTGTACTGCACATCGCTGAATTCATACAACACCATCTTCAACTTTTCTTTCTCTTCATCGTTCAGATGCTCAAGCCTTAGCTCGTGACATTCCCTTAGTTTATTATCGATAGCGGACGCACTTCTGTGCGATAATATCTTCTTCCGAAGATGTATCTTGGCACTTATGTGCGGTCTTAACCTCTTCAATTGCTTCTCCACTAATAATGATTGGGAATATTCTTTCTCCTAACCTTACAGTATTGTCACTGTAATTAATTATGGCTTTGCTAGCCATCAGATATTCTCTTCCTAGAAGGATATCGTAATTGTCCGAGAAGTTATACAGGTAGAACTTCTGCTCACTGGGACAGACTTTGTTGGGGGGCCTAACTATACTTTTAGTTAACTTAACTGGTCCGTTGATGGTATAGACCTTGAGGTTTTCTATATTTATGGGGGCGTTCGGAATGTTTTCTTTTATGATGTTTATTGATGATCCCGAATCCACGATACCTCTGAGTGTTTTGTTATTTAATTTTATGTTTATATAGGATCCCCCTCGGTTTCTTCCGAGGCTGTTTGATGAAAATTTACGTCCATTTTCATCTGGTCGCTTTGACTTTCCCGAATCCTTTTGGTAGGTTGATTGGGCCTGCTGCCACTAGCTTGGTTCTGATTCATTTGATAATTAGCTGGATTCTGTGCTTGGCCTTTATTCAAGGAGTTACGAAACTCCTGTTGCAATCCAGGATTGTTATTATTGTTTCTAGATGTACCTGAACCAAATGGATTCTGAGCCTGTTGTGTATTATTACTAAAGTTTGGGTAATAATTCCCATTATTCTTCTGAGCGGACTGCTGTGGTTTATGCTGATCTTTATTGGTATTCTTATTTTCTATCTTAGCTTCGTATAAGCCTTCTTCTTGAGCGGCTTTCTTAAGTTTAGACAGTGTTGTTATGTCTTTTCGGACTAAGGTCATAAATGTTCTATCGGGGAGTTTACGCGATATTACATCTTTAATTGTGTTATTTAATGCGTTGTGATAGATCAGGGTGTTGGCTGCACTGTTTTCTAATGCTAGCTTATTGGTGACTACAAGGACTTTAGTTTCTAGATCTTCTACAAACTTACGAAGGCTCCCGTTGAATTTGGTGAAATAGATTTGTCGCAGAAGTTCTTCGTAGGGTGTGTGGTCCTTGAATTCGTCTATCAGAGCATTCTTCAGTTCCGTCCAGGTGTTAGGTTGCACCAATTGTGAGAGTCGTTGTGCTTCTTCGATCAGCTGCACTTCAACTGCTCCAAACAGTATTCGTGACTGTCTGGCGTCTTGCGTCGGGTACAGTTCGTGTATGTACTCAACGCGTTTAATGAAGGAGCTCAGCTTTCCAGCTGATCCGTCATAGGCTGGCACTTGTCGAATTGACAGTAGTGCTTGATTTAGGTGAATTTCACTAAGGATTGCAGGTGGTAATGCCATTTTGATTTGTAGTTCACTTCACGTGTTTCACTCAATGGATTATTTACTTGTCGATTTATTTAAATCGTTGCTGTTGGTGATTTATATAATCGTTGCGATTTTGGGTTACACAATTATTGTTTTGTTTAACGTTTGTGTTTGGCCTAGTGCTGCGTTGCACCTAGGTTCTTTGGCGGATTCACTTTGTCTAACTTGCTTCGCTAATCACCAGCAATCTAGTCGTATAGATTGCTTCTAATAGATTAGTACCGGAACAATAACGTTAGTGTTTGTAAATCCTACCGGCTGCGCCAATAAGAATTCCCGAGTTCACAAGTAGGTTTTTAAAAAGATATTTTATTTAACCGAACTTATAAAATAGAACATAGGATATGATAATGAATTCCCCAACTCAATGTTAGAAAGTCTCAAACGGAACTGTCTTCTTGTTCTCGAGTTATTGATCTCGAGACCTCTGTTAGGAAGCTTAAAGCTTATCTCCTTAAGCTTTCGGCTTCGGCTGATATTTCGTCTTCGTGATTGAGTGATAATGGCTTCGGCTGAGAGAGGCGAAGCTTCGGTTGGGAGAGGCGTTGCTTTGGTGAGAGCGGCTGATAAGCGATGCGTTGGCCTGTGTGTGGGAGGCTTGGGAGATGCGTCGGCTTAGATGAAACAGGTAGCCGCAGCTGGTGATTGGTGTCAGCTTTCATCTTGAGAACTCACTTGTTTACAAGAGTTCTCCCTTCTATTGGAGTGTGGGACTGATTCGGAATTAGTCATAGTGTGGAGTGTGGGAACGAGCTGATAACGTATTGGTCAGCGACGTTCTATTGCATTCCCGAGTTTTGGGTTGCATGGGACTTCCTGTTGATTTCGGTATGGACGAATCATGCGTTGTTTGTTCAGCTGTTGGGGTATCTTCTTATATGTTTATCTTATTTCATATAGATGCGAATACATGGGTGTAGGGTGAGTGCTGGGCATATACATAACGTGTATGGTTGTGGGTGTGGTTATGAATATGTCAAGTGCTTAACGTATACTTAATGCGTATGTAGGTGTAGGGCATTATGGATATGTTACTATATACAGTGATGGAAAAAATAATAGAAACGACAATTTTTTTTCGCATTTTTCAAAATTTTCTTCAGTCAAAATTTTTATTTTGTAAGTTTAATAATTTTGATTGATAGTCTATACAGCTATGTATCAAAACATAACAAAATAATAATTTAAAAAAAATTAGTGTAGCAAAAATAAATTTTTTCATTTTTAGGGCCTGGAAAAAATAATAGAAACGGCCGACTTAAAGCTTTGAAAAACCGTTTCTTAGCTTCAAAGGCTAGTAGGTTAACTTATAGCTTACATATTTGGAAGTGACAAGGTGATTTTTAGTGACTTCGACCCATCTGCGACCCATGGAATCCACCAGTTCGTCACAAATGGATGGATCCATGGAGAACCATTCGGACTTAACATTTTGACAAAAATCATTCCTATTTTTGGTCCTTTAGCCACCAGTCCTTTTCATTAAGATCTCCTAAAGGTGATCTATAGGATTAAGGTCTGATATTCCATCAGGCCAATCCATCAGGGAAACTTCTTTGTCCAGGAACCATTTCTTGGTCAGCATTTAGGAGTGATTCGGGTCATTATCCTGATCGAACTACCACTTTAATGGTATTTCCTACTCAGAATTATACTGTCGAGTATATTTACATAGTCGGAGGCACACATTTTTTTCTATATCCAAAGTATTGGACCAATAATCGAATGGATAAAGCATCCCCACAACATTATGTGCCCACCACCATGCATACCCGCTTTAACAGAAACAGATTTTCTTTTCTCAAAACACACTGTTCGGCTAAGCTCCGGCCCATGGCAGCACAATGAGCAATGAGACCATATGTAACATCTCTTAAATGTAACGTCTCTCTTTATTACCGTTTTGTTTGCTTTGCTTATGCTCTATCTGGTGCTTTGCTTTCTGTCGGCGTTCGACAGCCGCTGTGGGGGAGGCTCGTCAGAGAAAGCAGAAGACACTTCAGATTCGATCATCACCGTAGTTAAACGTTTTGCTGTCTGGCACAGTGACCTGCCTGCCACAGAGTTCTAAACTAAACCTTACATAAACCTAACAACAGCCTTGAACCGACCCCCGCGTCTTCAATCGACCCATCCTTAACTCTCGTTATCAAATCCGCACACCTTTCGCTAGTTTTGGATAAAACATATATATTAACTTAAGAACAATAAACTGTGAATATATTAACTGAACAATCGTCGTCTCTTAAATAATCTGGCAAAACAACGCTACTGAAGAATTTTCGTTGGATAAATTTGCTTTGAACCACGGTTTTTCGGTTTGTCGTATGTGCACAAGCAACAGAAACGGTTCTCGCGTCATCTGCTTTACGGTCTGCTTGCTTGCTGCTGTTTCGTTTTGGTTTCGTGCTCTCAGTGTGCATGCCTTTGTTGTTGTCGGATGCACAAGTGCAGTGCGTTTCAAACTGTTAGCTCACGCTGCTGATCTGTAAAACTGCAAGACCGTGTGTTTTGAACGCTGCGATCGATTGTACAGTTCATGTAAAACTGCTCGAGGTTATTCACCGGCTGTTAACCTCTACACTCGCTCAGTGACTCTAAACCCAGCTTTCTACTGAGCATACACGATGGCTTCTAATAGCACCCCTTCAATCTCGCCCCCCTCACCTTTGTTCGTCGATTCGGAAGCTGCATTCAACAAGCGCAAGGTGCAATCCATGGTACGAGCAGCACGGAGAATGGAAACTGCCGTCGGAAAGGAGAGGATTGGCGAACTCAGTGAGGAGGAGTTAAATGTGCGACTAAAGTTGCTAGCGGATCTGGTCGCTTCGTTCAACGAGCACCATAATGCCCTGGAGAGGATTGATCTCGATGAGATTGGCAGTCCCTTGAGGGATGAGTTTGACGAATGCGTGGTGATGCTGGAAATTCGCATGAAGCGTGAGTTGAACAAGCGGCAGCCCACAATGCTCCCATGCTCAATAATGCGGACGGATCATTTTGGTGAGGCCCCAGCTACAGTCATAGTGCAGAGTCGGCCTCGCCTGCCGGAATTAAAGCTTCCCGAATTCAGCGGGGGCTACGCGTAATATGCTGCGTTTTGGGGCATGTTTGCCTCCATAATTGACAAGGATTCTGACCTAACGAATGTGGAAGCTGCAGCACCTACGATCCTGCCTGAAAGGACCTGCTCTAGACACAATCTCTTCGCTAGAATTCAGCCACGCCAGCTATCCCATCGCCCAAGACCTTCTTAATAAACGATTCAATAACAAGCGTTTAATATTTCAGGCACATGTCACCAACATTTTGGGTGTGCAGCGTATTGAGACCTCGTCTGTGTCCCAGCTCCGGTCATTGTCAGATACTGTAAATGCCAATCTGCGGGCCTTGCAGAGTGTGGGGACAAAGGACCAGATTGCTGACTGCATTCTGATACATATCCTGCTACAGAAAGTGGACAGCGCCACACAAGCCAAGTGGGAGGAATGCTCGTCAATGGATGACATACCCACAAGCCAGCAATTTACCGCTTTTCTGGAGCAGAGATGCCAGAGGTTGGAGACTCAGGAGCACGCTAAGGACATGTACACTAATAGCAATCGGAAACACTGCCTAGTTGCAAATACCTTCAAGCCGATTGCCTGCGCGCTCTGCGGCGATACCGGACATTCGATATATCGATGTTCTCAGTTCAGCAACCTTTCTGCTCGACTTCGGCTCCAGGAAGCTAATAAGCTATCCCTATGCACCAACTGCCTCCGATCAGGCCATCAGCAAGGTGAATGTCGTTCACGATCCTGCCGAGTATGTGGTGCTAAGCATCACACACTACTTCATTTCGAGTCTTCGTCCTACACTTCTCAAGCCATTCTACCTCAACTCTTCAAATCAACATCGACTCTACGAATTCCCGCGATACCCTCTGTCGCTGAACATGCCGTAACATCGTCAGCCACGTCGCTCTTGGCCCAGAGTCATCGACGGCCTTCTCGTCTGGCTCAACAGTTGCAGCTACAGAAGAAAGAGTCGGAAGTTTCCGTTTCTGGTCTAGGCGATTCGTGTGCCATATCCGAAGGATGCTGCGTCGATATCCAACTGGAATCACACGCGTCCAACTATGCCGCGACCATTACGGCACTTATTGCTCCAACCATTACGGGTAACCAACCCAACGGTATCCACGACATTAATCGCCGGAACATGCCCTCCACATACATACCGCTGGCGGATTAGAAGTTTCACCAGCCCCAGCCAGTTGATATTCTGATTGGAGCGGCTCTGTTCTTCGAGCTTCTATGCGCTGGCAATATCAAGTTGGGAACTGGACTGCCACGTCTTCAGGAGACCAGACTGGTTCTCCTCTGCTTCTCTATTTTCAGGTAGCTCATCTGAAGTGGCCCCTCGCTCGACCCAGCATAGGGGCAGAAATAAAGTCCGGAGTAGCGGTACTGAAGACAACAACAGTGCTGCAAAATAAGGATGTTAAAGACCCGTGCTCTTCAACGGGGGGAGTATGTTCGGCTAAGCGCCGGCCCATGGCAGCACAATGAGCAATGAGACCATATGTAACATCTCTTAAATGTAACGTCTCTCTTTATTACCGTTTTGTTTGCTTTGCTTATGCTCTATCTGGTGCTTTGCTCTCTGTCGGCGTTCGACAGCCGCTGTGGGGGAGGCTCGTCAGAGAAAGCAGAAAACACTTCAGATTCGATCATCACCGTAGTTAAACGTTTTGCTGTCTGGCACAGTGACCTGCCTGCCACAGAGTTCTAAACTAAACCTTACATAAACCTAACAACAGTCTTGAACCGACCCCCGCGTCTTCAATCGACCCATCCTTAACTCTCGTTATCAAATCCGCACACATTTCGCTAGTTTTGGATAAAACATACATATTAACTTAAGTAAAATAAATTGTGAATATATTAACTGAACAATCATCGTCTCTTAAATAATCTTGCAAAACAACG